CAGTCTGGTGCGCATTGCTATTTATTTCTTGTCAGTCCCTAGCTTGTTGAAATTTCAAATCGATTGGTACTGTCTTAGTAAATTGTGAGTTTGTTTGTTTAGAAATAAACACAGGAAAACAATCTGTGATAGAAACATAAGTAGCAAATCATAAATTATGTGTCATCATAACTTCTTTTACGTCTTATCTTATATGCAGTTCTTGAAGAAACAAGCCAAATTTTTTTGTCTGTAATTGTGTAAGAAAAATATCTTATTGTTTCAACAGTTTCGGAAATTGGTGCAACGAGGTATAATTTATCTTCGGTAATCAACACGTCCCTTTTTAATATGACGGAATGGGGCTTGTGCTGGTGATTCCCACCCCATTTCGCAGCGATTCTTCCGTCTATGTTTACAGCTCAGGGATGAAACAGATGCGGGCTAATACGTCACAGTACATACAGGCTTGCTTATTTTGGAGATCTAAATGGCACTACTTCCAGTGTTTTCATTAATTATCAAAATTCGGCTGTGTTCCTCTCCATGGTGGGCCAATAGTGCCAACAAACTACATATGTTAACATATAGATTTCAAGTCCCTGTTCTATTCCAGTCTCCTTGCTAGGGATATTCACAGTTCATATCTTTAAAATTTCAACAGTACTTACTTTGTTATTATGAGCTTTATTGTATAAGCAGATTTACAGCAAAATAAATAGCAATGCGCACCAGACGAACCGGTGCGATCATGCGTTTTGTGCAATTCAGCCCATCGAACGATTGCCTATTAATGATTTTCACTGTTTTGTACTTTAGTCTATGCAAAAATAGTCAAACATAAAGAAGACCAGACAAAAATTTCACGCACCAGCGTATGAAAACTGAATTCGAAACCTTGAAGGATGAATATCTTTTCGTGAGAATTTCACGCACCAGCGTATGAAAGCTGAATTCGAAACCTTGAAGGATGAATATCTTTCCGTGATTTCGATTTCATGCACCAGCGTATGAAAGTTGAATTCGAAACCTTGAAGGATGAATATCTTTCCGTGATTCCCCGCACCAGCGTATGAAAGCTGAATTCGAAACCTTGAAGGATGAATATCTTCCCGTGATTCCCGATGCACCAGCGTATGAAAGCTAAATTCGAAACCTTGAAGGATGAATATCTTTCCGTGATTCCCGCGTTAATAGTTAGCGCATGAAAGCTGAATTCGAAGCCTTGAAGGATGAATATTTTTCCTTGATCCCAGAGTTAATTTTTTTCACTGCTTTGTACTTTAGTCTATGCAAAAGTAGTTCAAACATTGAAAAACAGTTAAAAATTTCACGCACAGCGTATGAAAGCTGAATTCGAAACCTTGAAGGATGAATATCTTTCCGTGATTCCCAAGTTAATAGTTTGGCGCATGAAAGCTGAATTCGAAACCTTGAAGGATGAATATCTTTCCGTGATTCCCGAGTTAATAGGGACATGCAAGCTGAATTCGAAACCTTGAAGGATGAATATCTTTCCATGATTCCCGAGTTAATAGTTTACCCCGAAATTTTCACTAGCGCGTAGGTGGTACCCGGAAGCGCGGGAACGCTGAGTTTGAATGGGCAAGGTTGAGCGTGGGCAGAAGGTCATTACCGTAAAATTTCAGCCTCCTAAACTCCGTGGTTCCGGAGATATTAACTTACCCGTGATGAAATTTCACGGGGCCGTACGTGTTACCCGCGGGTACGGGAAGGCGGAATTTGAATGGGCAAGGTTGAGCGTGAGCAGGGGATCATTACCCTAAAATTTCACCCTCCTAAACTCGTTGGTTGCCGAGATATTAAATTACTCGTAAAAAATTTTCAAGGAGTCGTATGTGTTATCCGCGGGTACGGGGAAGCTGAATATAAATTTGCGGAATCACACGTGGGTGGGGAACGTTTCCCTAAATTTTCAGCTTCCTAGTTTTTGTGGTTCCCGAGTTGAAAGTTGCGGAAAGGTTGCTGCGGACACACACACACACACGACCCCGTGACAATATGCGTTTTGTACTGCTGTTACACAGCACAAAACGCATAAAAACTAAGTTTTTATGTTTATAACTGTGTGCAAAAGACCTTATCATTTCAGCAACTGCGAAAATTGGTGCTTGAATTGATTTTGCGTATGAGCTGTAACGAAACGATGAAGCAGTATGGGAGGATTTTACTCTCACAACTGATAAAATTAATTCAAGTTGAAAATGAAGAAAATGCGCTGCTGGCGATCAAAATTATTGGTGAGCATCAACGTGCCTTCAAAATTCCTTACTCGCAAGAGGTACGCCTTCCTTACATAATTTTCTTTACTTAATTTTTAGAGATACACTTTCTACTTTTATAACTTGTTTTGCTGCCATCAGCTTGCTTCTAAGCAACCCTCGAAAGAGAGAGAAAGCATACTTGGCTACTGTTCGGGCCACTAATAACATCGACAAAATTCGTCGAAGAATAGGCAGGGGCCAGCTACTTTTGTCAAGTCATGCTGTATTTTATAGTTCGTGCACTGTTAAATTTTATGGTAATTTTACTTTTACTACTGTGAACGATTTTTCGAAAAAATGAGTTCTGGTACTGATAAAATTTTGATCGAAATCCAAAAATCTGATCGAAATTCTAATCTGATAAAATCCCCTTGAATCCAAATTAGTATGGCCATAGATTAAGTTGGATGCTAGGGTTAAACCAGTAGTATTTCTTGTTTCATGTTTTGTTTTTTTGTGAATTTTAGATATCAGCAATTATC